AAGTGGATAATCAGGGATTCTGGAAAAGAATTTTCAGATATGGAAGAGGTAAAGATAGTAAACTCTTTTATTTATCCTAAGAGGAGGTGGCTATGATAGAATTTTCTTAGGAGGTACCTAAAAATAACTAAAACTGATAATGGGAATGTTAAGAAACTTTTGCTGTTAAGGCAAGACCAAACACAAATTGTTGCCCCAAAGGCCAGTAATGCAGTTAGCTATCATCAATCCTGCCCTCCAAGAAACAGTGCAAATTGGGGTTTTTTACATTTTTATTGTATTTTATTTCAAACTGATTTAAATTTTTAAATTTATACCTAATTTTATTTTTGGAAAACTTTTAGCTTAATTTTTGTATGTAAAGGTACTTTTTCTGCTAAAGGTTTTATAAAAGCTAAATACAGACCAAATATTTCCAATGAGACAATTTAGCACATTTGTTTTCTTTCAATTTTAGCAAATTATTGATAAGTCTGACAAAGCAGGACTTTGTCTCTGAAGACATCCATACTCTTGCATATCAGTCTTTACCTCCCCAATTCCAAAATGATGTATCACTTCATCCTGCTAGAGATCACAGTACTGTTTAGGGCAAAATAGTCATTTTTTAGACTAAGAAACTTGAAGGCAGCCCTGGCCAGTGTGGCTCAGTTGGTTGAGCGTCGTCCTATGCACCAAAAGGTGCCTGTTCATTTCCCAGTTAGGGCACATTCTGGCTTCATCCCCAGTAGGGGTGTGCAAGAGGTAGCTGATCAATGTTTCTCTCTCTCTCTAAAAAAAACAAACAAGCCCAGCAGGCATGGCTCAGTGGTTGAGCATCGACCTATGATCCAGGAGATCACGGTTCAATTTCTGGTCAGGGCACATGGCCGGGATGGGGGCTCGATCCCCAGTGGGGGGCATGCAGGAGGCAGCCAATCAATGACTCTCTCATCATTAATGTTTCTATCTCTCTCTCTCCCTCTCCCTTCCTCTCTCTGAAATCAATAAAGATTTTTTTTTTAAATCAATAAAAGCATATTTAAAAAAAAAGAAACTTGAGGGCAAGAACAATGTCTTATTCATATAGATCTTTCCCTCATTATCTGGTACACAACCCTCTATATGTTCAATATGTTTTTGTTTAAAATTTGAATATATTTATTCATTCAACTCCTAGGTGCTAGGCATTGTTCTAGGAGGGAAAGAGTGATGAGCAAAACAAAGTCCTAGCCATCATACAATGTACATTCTAGTGGTGGGTGGCAAATAATAAACAAACTATAGTAGAGAAAGTCCCTCGAACAGCACCTGGCATGTAGTAGGCAGCACTCTATAAATACCGGAATAATAAATGAACGAATGCATAGCATGTCAAATAGCAGTAAGTTCTGTGGAAAAAAATAAGGCAGGGAAGGGGGACAGGGAAGACAGAGGGGAGAAAATGGCTTTTACTTTAAATAAGGTGGTCAAGGAATGCATCACAGATTAGGTGATAGTTGAACAGAAACTGGAAGGAGTCCATCTTAATATCTGGAAGAAGGTTGCAGGCAGAGAAAACAACTACAAACGTCCCAAAGTTGCCTGGCATACTGGAGCAACTACAAGGAAACCAATGTGACTAGAGCACAAGGGGAAAATGGTAGAAGATGAGGTCAGAGCAGCAGGAAAAGGGGAGCGCTGAAGATCCTATGTGCCCTTGTAGACCACTGTAAGGACTTTAGTTTTTAATCTGAGGGGATCAAGAGCAAAGGAGGAAGAACATTTAGCAACTATTCTAATAGTAGCAGAGGAAGGATGAGGAGTGTTCAAATCCTGGATGTATTATTTCAAGGTACAGCTGACAGGACCTGCTGGTGTATTGGATAAAGAGAGAACCGAGTCAAGGGAGAGTCCTCCATACAATCAATATAACTCAAACTGAGACGGGGAGGAACTGCCAGAGATACAGGTTTGAGAGGAGAAGTTTCAGAGTTAATTTTTTAAATATGTTAAGTTCAAGAAGCTATCAGATATCCACGTGGAGGTAGCCAGTAGGCAATCTTGAGTTCAGGGAAAGACATTCAAGCTAGTAATAATATGCACTTGAGAATTGTAAGGATATAAATGGTATTTGAAGTCCTGAAATACAACTAGGAAATGTGTAGACAGAAAAAGGTTCCAAGGACTGATCTGAGTACTCCATCCTCAGAGGCTGAGGGGAGAAGGAGGATCAGCCAAAAAAAAGGAGGAAGGAGGGGGTTGAGAAGGAGGAGCTGTAAGGCAGGAGAAGAAATAAGGGAGTGGCATCCTGGAGGCCAAGTGAAACTAGTGTGCAAGAAGAGAGTGTCAAAAGAAGACAACTGAGAAATGATTACTGAATCTATATGCTATTTTCTAAGCATGCTCTTCCCTACCTTTTAATGCAGGTAAAATCCCAGTATAGTCCAATGAATACACATAAGGTTTCTGTTTAATGCAGCTATATCCGAGTCTCCAAAAAAAAAACCACAAAAAACAAAAATCAATGCTCTTAATATGTACACAACAGATTTTACACAGTGAATAATGTTAAACAAATGCTTTGTCTGGTTCAAGCAATTGTCTCTCAGAAACAAGGTCCCCCAACAACATCTTGCTTATACTCAGCAGGTGGAATCAGAGAAATGAGCTATTTAAATGTATTTCTTTTGTTCTGCAACCAAGTAGCAATTACTCTTCAGCTCATTTCCCTGCTCCCTAACTCAAACACCCTAGCCAAAGATCCTAAATTTCCACACACATACCTTTAAAAACAAAGCATAGCACAATCAAATCCAAAACTTGAATGAGAAAAAGGTATGCTGTGCATGCACTTTCTTTTACTGCACAGGTTAACAATCATTTGCTAATTCAAACGCTGTGCTTTATTTACATTTTGTCCTTAGGCTGTCTAAGACAGGAAATGCAATTTCTGGTGTCTTCATCTTAAGAGAGAATTAATGCTACAAAATAAGGACTTTAACTCTGTGCTCTAACAAGAATAGTAAAATTTCAATAATCTACATTTGTGAAGCAGAACAGTAATCACCAATAACTGAAATCATGCACACATTGTTCATACCTTCCTGAAATGGCTATAAATTTCTGAATGAACTGTGTTCTCTCTGCCTTTGGGCCTTTGCTCCCTCCGCCTGTTAGGACCCTTCCCTGCCCTCCACCTTGCCATCTGCCAACTTGGGACTCAGCCTGAATGCCAATTTCTCTAGGCAGCCTAGATCTCCTGGATTCCCTCCAATATTGAATCAAGGTTCCTTCTCTAAGCCCACAGCACCCTCTGCTTACTCATATCCTAATACTTAAACACACTGCACTGTAAATTTATTTATGTGTCTACCTCCCTCTCCAGACCATAAACATCTTGAAGGCAAGGACAGGTTCTCATTCATTTGAATATCCTTAGTGTCTGGGATATATCAAGCAATCAGTGTTTACTGAATGAATGAATGAAATGAAATTTGACCTGGAATACCTTATGTGATTTTTGTAGCACATTTTCCTTAATAAACCAATTGAACCGATCTGATATTAAGATTACTGGCATCTAATCACATCCCCAGCTGATAGCAAAAACAAAAAAATTTCCCTTACCTGATACTGGAAATAGAGGATTAAAAAAAGAGATTTTGCTGCTCAAGATCAACTCATGGAGTTATAATACCAGCTGCTCTTCTTGGGTACAAGACAGCAGCCTATCCTTCCCACACGACAGGAGGGGCTAACAGACCTCTGGATCATTCTCTTCTCTTCCCCTCCACTAATCCTGTATTCTCTTTTCTGCCCTATTTCCTTTTTCCTTTTCTCACCTTGTTTTCCTTCCTCACTTTCGAGACTTTGTACTCACATTCTGTTCTCATTTTCCCTTTAACTTTTCTCTGCACTCCCATCTCCATGCCTTATTTCAGAGACCCTGGGGAATCCATGGGCACTGCTTTACCCAATTGGGAGAACTTAGGCCAAGGATGTTGCTGTATCTCCTTGTCACTTCTGTAAGGCACACCAACATATTTCTTCTGTTTCTGAGGAAACAAGTAGTGACCCCATAACAGCAATGCAGGGTTACCAACAAAAAAGGTCAAACTGTTATTATCCATACAAAGTGGGAAAGACATGTTTCTAAGCTGCACTAGGAAAGTAATACGAGAAAGGCACTCTTAATTTACGATAATTTTAAATAAAAGAGAAATGGGAAGCTAAATGTGAAGGGGGAAGAGAAAAAGAAACCATGTTTTGGAAAAAAATGCTGCTGTGTTGGTAGGGCAAATTGAAAAAGCTATAATATACTTTGCTGGGTCAGATAGTTTAGAAAAAAAATGTGATCCCTGCCCCCTGGGAATCCAAGAGTCTTACTGAGGAATCATGCCCACTATTTCCCAAAACCCATAAATGTAAACATTAGAGAATAAGGATGAGATTCCCTTAAACCAAAGGAATCAGAAACCTACCATAAGTTTATGGATTGGATGTTCTGAAACAGAAAAATAAAGACTGAAGGGAAAGCTTTTTGAGTTTAAGATAAAGGTATTCCATGTATCAAAGTCAGCGTCACAACCATCAGAAGCCAAGGAAAGGAACAATCCATGAGGAATCTAGAGGCTCAGCTCAGGTCCTAATAAGCTAAGTAAACTTAAGCAAGTCACTTCACTAGTCTAATCCAAAAAATGCCTCTTCCATAAAATAAGCAGAATAATACCATCCTGGAAACATTGCCTGTGATGATTAAATAATGTGAAATCACTTTGAAAGGTTTTTTTTATAAGCCAATGTGGGGTAAGAGGAAGCAAAAACCCTTCCTCTGAATGGAGTACAAATCCTGCAGTTCAATTCCCAAAGTCTTAGCCTGATTCACCTTCCCAACCTCATTAAACACCTTAATCAACCTGCAGTCATTCAAGTGGGAGGAGAAGAGTCATGTGTGAGGCTCCAGGGGTAGGGCAGTGACTATTTATTCAGTTGCTCCATTATCTCAGTGCCCTCATCTGTAAAATGTAGAACTCACTCACCTATCCACAAGATTGAGCAGTCTGAGGAAGAAGTGGAGAATAGTCCAGAGCCCTTTTTGCCAGATCTCAGGGTCACCCAAAGTACCTGTGGCCTGAACAATACATTATCAATACCAAGACACATTATAATTTAATCAATAGCCAAATGTGGGCTACTCTAGGGAGGAGGTATAGGACTCTGGAGCAAGCGGACAGGTTAAGAGCTAGGGAAGAGAAGGCTTCAGTGAGGAGGTGGATAGAGTCCTGGAGGTACTCAGATAAGAAATTAAGAGAATATTTCAGGCAGAAAAGGCTCAAACCAGCTCAAAACAGGCAGTCTTGTGAAGGAAGACCCAATGGATAAAATTTTCTTTAGGGAAAATAAACAGGTGGCAGATTTAGAGGACCAGAATGCTTTAAGTCATGATAATTCTTGATTATATGTAATTTAGTCCTTTTGTTGTCTCTTAAATTTTTAACGTTTACTAGTATTTTTTAATTCCCTAATCAACTGTTTCCCTATGAGATAAGGCCCTCTGTAGAGAACACATACACTTTTGGGGGTTACATATATAGGCTCTTGACCCAAATTGCCTACATTCAAATTCTTGCTTTACCATTCAATGGCTATGTGACCTTGGACAAAATCCTTTACCTCTCTGTACCTCTGTGATATGGAAGTAACATCACTCCCATCTCAGGAGGTTTTGTGAGAATTAAATGTGTACATTAATCATACTGGTCACAACCTAATAATGGGTTTTTCATCACTTTAGTTTTGATGTGCCCCTATTTTTAATGTAAAGGTGAGAATAAAAATCACCAGAGTACACTGCATGTAGTAAGGATAAGTACTGTTTTGCAAAAGTTTTGTTTCTGTTATATACATGGTACATATATGTCTGCTATTATGTAAAATTTATTTCTTGCAAAACAGTGGTTTGCTTTTAAAAATGTGAGAACCATTGAATTAACACACAAAATAAAGATTCGAACAGTGCCTAACACATAGTAAGCACTTAGTGCTATTACCGTCACTGTTGCTGTTGTGTACCTACCTATTAAAGTTGTTTGTAGGATTATGTAAGGTAATGTGAAAGCACTCCGGAAAGTCTGATCTGTGATGTTAATGTAAGTTAGAGGAAGCAAAAAGCTTTTTACTCCATTTCTAACATCCACACAAGTAGAACCCTGTTTAGGCACATATTTGTTGCTTGGCCCACAAGTTATTTGTTACACTGAACTTAAGAGTTCACAGACTATAATTTATCTAACACTCTGTCATGCTCTGTCAATATTTGCAGAGAAATGGAGGCTTGGCGCCATTTATTTTTACCTGGTTGGGGTGGGGAAGGCGAAGTCATACCCATTGGTAGCTAAAGGAAGCAAGTGAGTCATATAGAGAATTTGCTTGCACCACTGGGCCAGGTAGACTCAACTGTGCCACAGACAAGGCAGGACTGACAGATACTTGAGCCTTTACGCAGGGCTGAATCACTTCCCCCTCCCTATCCTCACCCAGACACCTCATTAAAAAAATAACATTTGAGGCCGTTACAGGTGTAGCTCACACCAGGAAAAACAGGGGATCCCCAAACATGTACAAATAGGGGCTAACTACCTACCAAAAGGTTACCTGAGGGATTCCTTTAAACAACAAGCTCATCTAAATGTTCATATAGCATTTAAATTCCAAAATCCTGATATACAGAAAAATTTGGAAATGTGCTCACCAATAAGGAAATAAGGTCTGGATTCCATCCTTGACACTGTGTGACCTTGAAATTAATCACTGCAGCTCCCTGGGCCTAAGTGAATTCGTCTGTTAAAAAAAAAAAGAGAGAGATAATACCACCTACCCCAGAGAGGACAGTTGTAAAAATTAGGTAGTATGCAGTAAAATGCCTAGCACAGGATCTAACACTGGTAAATGCACAATAAATGTCTGTCCCTTCCAGGCTAAAAGTGAACACCAGTTTTGGCAAACTGAGGGTCACTGTCCAACTTGCCCGTGAAAAAAAATCATAGGCATCCTAGTCACTTCATGGGAATTTTTCTTTTTTTAAAGATTTATAAGGCCATTTCTTGGTCTTTCCAGCACAGCAGCCTGTGAAAGACTAGGAAAGGAGTAATTTCCCATCTCATTCCTTAAAGAGCGATTCCTAAATGCTTGTTACTGGGGGCCCAAGTTACCGACTGGTTACGCGCCCCCCCGTTATGCAATAAATTTAAAATGAGCGAGAGACTCGATATTCTGCCTAAATTTTACAGCTCGTGTTCCAGGTTCAAATTCATGGGAGAAATGCAGTAAAATTCGCGCGCACCTCCACCCCCGGTTTGGACCACCCTGTGGGGGGCGTTACCCGAGGGGTCAGAGGACTCGCTGCGCAGGGAAGTCCCCGGACCACAGGAACAGGGGATGGAAAGGGGGCGGCGGCGGATGTGCATTCTACAACTTTCGTGCCAACCCCAATTTCTCGTTGGCGACGAATCGGGGCCACGTGTCGCCATTTTGTGTTCAGGAAAATGGCGGCCACCCCCGTGGGGAAGGAAGGGGGGCGGAGGGACCGCCGCCGCCACGTTAGCCGCTTTCCCTGAGGTATCCTGAAGCACGTTGCGCACACGGCCTTTTCTGTCTTGCCCTGAAGGGAAGGGCAAGGGGCAGAAATCACAACCGGCACACTAGCGGCCGCAACGACCTTTCTTTCTTAGGCGAGAGGAACGTGCGGCAGTGTCTACGGCAGGAAAAGCTTTCCAAAATGGCGGCCCGATTGGGGGCCGCCCCCGGAAAGCGCGGGGCGCGGCAGCTGCACCAAAGGGGGCAAGGGCCGCAAAGGCGCAGCCGGAGTGTAAGCCATGCGGAGCAAGCCGCAGGAGCTCCCCAAAGCACTGATCGGTAACCCCTGAATAAATGCGGCCCCCAGTACCACACCATTGTCTTAAATATCTGAAGAGGTTGCCGTAACTAAAGCGACACTAGGGCGGGAGGTGGGGTTTCTGCGGGTTTAATTCAAAGAAACTTGCAAAATGCAAACAAAGCATTATGTAAATGGACGCCATTCTTTCTAGGGCCAAGTTTCTAGCACTTCCCAGAAACCACCAGCAGAGCCGCAACGCGGGCGGCGGCAAGGGGTGGGTTTCGGTCTTTCTCCTCACCAGCCATGGCTACAGGGCCTGGGCAGGGGTGGCGGCAGGCGCCCTGCGCCCAGACGCC